CCCCAAAACCCCAAAACCCCAAAACCCCAAAACCCCTTACAAAAGTAAGTATTGAAAATACTTAATCCTGTGCCATAGCTATAATTTGCAACATCTGAATAATATTGCTCAAACTATTCGTTTCTTCTGATGCAAAAGATCCATAATCCAGATTATTGAACTTGAAAATAGTATTTTCACCTTCATTGGGTTGTCATTTAAGGGTTGATCCAGCATCACTGCTAATACCATAAAGATTCCTGATGCCAGAAGTGATCTTATAATCAGTTTCATAAAGTGCTGGGATCTTCTCATTTAAGCTATTCACAACTTCTTGTGTTATAGTGTTTGTTCCAGGACATGCAAGAAGATCCTTGATCTTGGAGTTCATCATTTTAGAGTAGAGATCTCTCAGTTTTATATCATAAAGAATCCCTATTATAACCGCTCTGTTGTAAAATAGCCTCTTAAGTTTCTTCAGCAACCTAATTGTAGTGAGAATATTAATTGTCTTAAACTCCTCCAGGTCTGAGCTAACTTTTGTATCGGAAATCCCAATGCTCTTTCCAAGGGTTTTATACGTCAAGTGAGCCTTTAGGTAGAACGGCTTTATCATATCAGACTTGGTAAAATCTTTCTTCCTAGTTTCCATCATTTCGAGGACGTAGTCTACTTCTTTCTCACTCAGAATTTTAAAGCTATTTTTCATGGTTAAACTCCTTCAGTTGGTTATTGGTAATATCTTGATAAAGCTCGTGAGTGGACCACTCTGTGTATTCGTTAGGGTATGCTATAAGATGTGTTTGGGATTGTAAGTGATCCTTAAATGCGTTCTCCACCATTTTCTTCATAGCTTCCAGCTTCTCTTCCTCAGTCGCTTGCTCTTTTCGCTCATCTGTGTCAATGACTTGGTCCTCTTCACGCACTTCCTTGATCTCCTCGTTTGAATTATTAGTATTGTATTGAGAAATTCTGTGATTTCTCTTGCCAGAAGCAGTTTTAACATTTCTAAAAGCTGTTGATTTATCACCAGTGTTCTGGTAGTAACTCCTGAGCAAGGTATTGTTATGTCTCCGTTTATCCATCTGCTGGATAACCCCTTCCTTAAATCTCGGGATGATATCCTTTTTATGCAAATTACTTGAAATCTTATTAATATTTAACTTTCTTTTCCGGTATTTCATCCTGCCCGCTATTGGGAATCCAAGCTGAGATAATCGTGGGACAGATTTATTATACTTATTTCGTTCCTGAAGACTCTGGCAAACTTGGCAAGGATCCTTTTATCTTGTATTTATAGTTATCAGTACTGAGATTAGTGTATTCTGAGTTATAATCATTATTGTTATGACTTGACCCATCTCTTTCACCAAGAATTCTACTTTTAGTATCAGAGTCTTCCCTTCTATACTCTCGCTGATGCACTTTGATTGGATCACTGTTAATAGACATTTTCCTATTGCTACCTTCATTATTCTGCGACTTGTGTAGTGTGAAGGAGCTTGGCTTGCCCTTGTGAGTATAGTAGGAGAACAGATCGTTAGCTAACTTAGTAGCTTGCCCTTTAACCTTTCCCTTCCTGCCTTTATGGGATAATCTGCTGAACATTGCTGGAGTTTCAATGTTCTTATGAACAATAGGCCAATAGAAGTTCTGCTTATTCCTTGCCTTAGCAATGCGAGACATGTATTTAGTCAATTCTGTATCTGAAAGTTTCAGAATTTGTTCCCGAGTCAGTTTCCGGATTGAAGAATCTAAAATTTAAATATTGTCAAATTTCATCAGAATTTGAAGATAAAATTTACCTAATCTTGGATGGATAGGATGGTTCTTTTGACTATAGTGAGTTGAGCCAATGCTTTCTGGCTGATCAAAGCTCTCAATCAAGTCCCTGTTTTCATTGGTATAATTAGCTACTCGCATGCTAGCTCCTGTAGTGCCTGGCCTAATCTTAGCACCTAACACTTTCTGGTTAATTAGATACTGATTTTTAGACATTTCTTGACTTTTCTTGAACCTCTCTCTAAGCTTAGTATTAGCTGCCTTATTTGAACTAGGAATAATATCAAGTAGCAGCTTAGGGTTATCCTTTAATTTCTTGATCATCTCCTGATAACTCTCTTGAGTTGGATCACTGTTAACCATCTGGGCAAGTTTCTCTTCATCAATAAGTTTATTCTGCAGTCCAAGACCAGTGGAATATATTGAATACTCATCAACAGGTACAATGCCTTTCTCAAGTCTTGCTTCGATTTGTCTCTGGTGGTTATTATCTTTGATATAAATCTCAGGTCTTTTCTCTGATATATTTTTCTAAAGTTATCATGAAGAGTACCATTGCCATCATGTTCAGTTTATTGTTGCCGTAATGCAGTCTTTGGATATTAGTTTTCTTATTACTGCGAAACACTTTAGATTTCTTTTTCAGCCTCCGCTTCTTGCCAGAACTCTTATTTACCATCATGTTTGTAGAAATCCATCTGTGTTTCAGTTTGAATGTTAGTGTAAGACTTTGTCTCTATTGCAGCATTTGGATCAGCGTCTTGAGCCTGAAGTTTAGGAGGTTGAGTTGAGAGTAAAGGGACCACTTCTTCATCGTCATAGCTGTTGCTGATAGTTATGATTTCTTCTTGCTTAGGCTTAGATTTATGTAAAGTCTCTTCGAAACCAGCATCTTTTAGTGGTATCGACTGATTTTGAGACTCTAAAGGAGTAGAATTTTTATCTAAAGAGGAATTTTTATGATCTTTTGATGCTTTTGAGATTTTAGAGCTGTCTAAATTCTCCTCTTCCTCCTCTTCTGCTTCTAATTCAGCATCAATTTCTTCATTATTTTAGTTCTTGATACTCAGAATCTTCCTGAAACTCTTTATTGATCTGATCAATTTCATGCTGGACTCGCTGACTATTCTCATTATTTTGATCTGCTCCATTGCTTTCAAGTATAAAATTAGCTTCTAAACTTCATAAAGCGAACTTTACTCTTATTTTCTGATGTCTTCCTTGGCTTTTTCTCTTCTAATACTGAAAAGATGGATTGAAACTCTGCGTCTTGAAGCCTTCCATCAGTAGTCTTGCACTGGGGAAGGAAGTACTTGTTGATCAAATTCCTTGAGTTATTCTTAACATGTTGACTATAATTCTCTAATTTCTCAATCTCCATAGCGCCTCAAGTCTGAGCTTGGCTACAAACCCTCTCCTGTTTCTGTGAATTTACAGCAGAAGAAGGTAAAAGTTTCTTTTGAGCGTTATTCCTTGATACACTCTTCTGTAGCTCAGAGTTATTAGAATGATTTCGATCGTAACTTGTTTCTGATGAAACTTCAAAATTTAAAATAGCTTTCTTAAATATCTCCCCTACAAATTGATTTAAATATTGCCCAGCCTCTTGATCTCCATCGTTGCTAGAGCCCTCCAGATGATTTTGATCTAGTTGAAGGCTTTTAAATTGCTTTCCTTGTAGAGGTGACTGATCTGGCAGTACACGGGAATAGTAATGCTTCTGAGTGACTCCTCAGTCAATTTCTTCATATTTCTCCATCCAAAATATTTTATTTACCCAATTATATGATAAAAACATGGGGTTTTGGGGTTTTGGGGTTTTGGGGTTTTGGGGTTTTGGGGTTTTGGGGTTTTGGGG